CCATGACATTAAGCCTCAGCCTCAGTTATTCACAGACTGGCTTGGAAGGGACCTTCAAAGCTTACCTAGTTCCAATCTCCCTTCCATGGGCTTGGACACCTTCCACCAAAGCAGGTTGCTCCAAGCCGCGTCCAACCTGGCCTTGAACGCTGCCAGGGATGGGGCAGCCACAGCTTCTCTGGGCACCCTGTGCCGGTGTCTCACCACCCTCATAAGCAAAGAACTTCTTCCTAATGTTTAATCTAAACCTTCCTCCTCTTGAGTCTAAGCCCATTCCCCCTTGTCCTAATGTTGTACGCCCTCATAAAATCCCTCTTCAGATTTCTTGTACGCCCCCTTTAAGCACTTGAAGCTGCCCTAAGGTCTCCCCAGCGCCTTCTCTTCTCCAGGCTGAACAAGCCCAGCTCTCTCATCCTGTTTTCACAGCAGAGGTGCTCCAGCCCTTGCCTCACCTTCGTGGCCTCCTCTGAACTCAGCTCCAACAAGTCCACATCCCTCTTATGTCTGAGGCCCCAGACCTGGATGCAGTACTCTGGATGGGGTCTCACGAGAGCAGAGTAGAGGGGCAGGATCATCTCCTTCGCCCTCCGGTCACGCTTCTTTTGATACAGCCGAGGATACGGTTGGTTTCTGGGCTGCAAGAGCACACTGAAGCCTGCTCATGTCAAGCTTCTCATCAACCAACACCCCCAAGTCCTTCTCCTCAGAGCTGCTCTCAATCCACCTCCCTCAGCCTGTGTTTGTGCTTAGCATTGCCCTGACCCAAGCATAGGACCTTGCACTTGGCCTTATCGATCTTCATTAGTTTCACACCAGCCCACCTCTCCAGGTCCCTTCGGATGGCATCCCTTCCCTCCAGCGTGTTGTCAGTGAACTTGCTGAGGGTGCACTCAGTCCCACTTCTAATACTTAACATTCACAAAGTACTATCTATATTAGCATGAATAGTATAAACCTCATAAACAGAGCTTAAAGCAGAAAGAGAGAATTACCAGATTTATTCAAAGCTAAAATTTGATGAAAATTTTTCCATACAGTTAACATTTCCATAAGATGCTTTGTGTATCAAGATGACAACATGATGAAACATTCAACTTCCCCAAGCTACCCAAATTTGCAGTTTTATTGTTACTTAAAAAAGGAAGCCCAAATGAATCATACACATCCAGCTGAGATAAAGCTTAAACAGGAAGGAGACATGAGTGTCTGACTAACTAATGTGGCACAGTAACTGTGTTATGAACAATGAAATAGAATGAACAATGGAAATAGAGATTTTTCTACTGCCCAAGAGTACATGTTGCAGGTGAGGTTTTGTTCATTCAGTTTTTGCTTTGGAGTTTTGGGATGTGCTTGTGGTTGGCTGGTTTGGCTGGTTTGTTGGGATTTTACTTTTGAAAGGTTTCTTGATAGGACTTCAGAAGTATTAAATCTCTTAACTAAGGCACCCCACACAGTGTCCAGGCATTCCCAAGCACATTGCCTCTTCTGATAACAGGCATCCATATTTTTGATATGGGACGTAATTTCGTAATAAGGTAGGACTTCTATCCTAATCTAGGGATAAAAAGGAGGTAATACTCCCACCTCTACCTGTTACTCAGAGAGCTGCAGGGTTTACTTGATCAAACAGCCTTACCCGTGTTCACAACATCCAGGTAACCAGGGTGAGCTGTCAGCAGCGAGAACACAGCTTCCCCCAGCCAGACTCCATCTCAGCTCCCTGGAGAGCACAGAAGGCAGAGAGCCCTGCTCTTCAGCACTGAAGCCTGCAGAAGCCACAGCAGCTTTATGCATCCAGCATTCCAGATACAGAAGCACATGACAGCTAAGTGGCCGAATACAGCTTACGATTTCTCCCTCTCTTCACTCAGGCTTAAGAAAAATAATGTCAGAGCCACTAGAAAAAAAGACTTTTCTCACACACATCCTAGCAAAATGGCATCAATTTCAAGTAAACAACCGGGATTCAATGTTACCACTAACTGACATTTAGGGTGAGAAGTCTTTTATAACACTTTATCTTGTGTAATAAAATACTTTTCAATTGGTGGTCATCTGTGTAATGCAAATAGAACAGTTCCATCCGCAGATGTTAAAGTGATCATCGGTCTGTGTAACACTCTTCCTTCTGCATCAGTTTGCTGTCATAAGAGAGCTCCATGATACATGGGGGGTGGGGGAAAGGAGGAAAAGAAATAAAAACATAGATAATTAAAGGTTTCAGAAGCAAAAAGAAGTAGCACATGTTTCCATCTGAAACATGATATTCCTTTGACCACTGAGTATTTCTGACTCAGCAGCAGTCATGGTGTATGCTGTGAAGGTCTGAGAACACAAAGGGACTGCATGCAGGCAGGCTGGCAAGAGTTTCCCATCTTACCAGTTTGACAGGGCACTTCAAACTTGTGAATTACATGTTGGCCAGCAGTCTGCCAGAACACCTTCTCCTAGGATAGCAATCAAATGCTAGAGTTGAAAACAATTTCTTGACCTAGGTCACAGCAAGGGAGGTGGATGATCATTCTCCACACACAGCTCAGTTCATCTGCATACATTGGGCCTGTAGAGGACAGAGGGAGGGACAACTGACCCCACCAGGTGCCACCATACCTGCCAAAGCACACCAGCAAAGCTGGGCAGTCCTTGCAAGAAACCTCACACTTGCACTGTGAAATCACACTTCCAACAAGTACTTCCAGAAGGATCAAATCATGCTTTGTTGCGTTAACGCAGATTAAGTTCTACCAAAAAGAGGTACTAAAATCTGAGTGGTTCTAAACACCACGGCAGATTAACTGCTTTGCTCCTATTAGAAAAACGTGCAACAAAGGGAATCTTTTTCATAGGAGATCTTCTTTGGAGTGTCTAAAAATCCCAGTGAAATCTGTTTGTCTTTTATAACATTCGCAGTCTTTTGAATTAACTTCTTAAAGCTGTGGAAGCAGAGGCACCTCGGCTCGAACACTCCCTAAACTACTCCAGTAAACCAGCGAGTTCATAAATTTAACACCAGTTCATCACCAGCAATGTTTTTTCTGACACCAAAGTAAGAATTCACCCAACAATGGCTAAAAGCTGTCAAATTCCCATAAAGAGATTTTGCCCCAGCTGCACTGAATGCCTTGGTTTGGTGCCCTTTACCCACACACACACTGGTTTAGTTTTTTAGAAACAAAGATTCAGTAACCTGAAATTACAAACATTTTTCTATCAGAACACACCAGTTTGGTCAGATTATTTTCTAAACCATGACATACCAGTGCCTTCAAAAGAATCTAGCTAGAGACTGCATTCTCCAAGATCTGTGAATTAAACCAACAAAACTAGCTGTCGAAACTGCAGTGCTACTGGGTTTTGCATCTCTTCTGGTTAATACACAACCTCGACACGCAGAGAAACAAACAATTACACTACAGAAAGCCTTTTATTTAGTGATCACATCACAAAAGCCCTCTGTTTAAGTTATAAAAAACAAGTTGGTGGTTTCAAGGAATTGTGTTCAATGTTCATTATATATTAAAATATATATATTTTATACATTTTATATACACAAGGTCATATATTGTACATACGTATGTATATGTACACAAAGATGAGAAAACAGGAGTTGTTCTTCCATCTTCGCAACAAAACACGGGAAAACAGGAATTGTTTTCCCACCTTTGCAACAAAGATAGGAAAATAAAGGATCCTCTCACTATCGAGACCTGAGATTACTTAGAGGCCCTAGAAAGCCATCGTGTTAGTATTATTAATGGAGAATGGTTACATCTGGGCTCAAGGATATTTTAACCCAGCACACATAAGAACAACAGTACCCTCAGAAGAAATAAAGATGCAGCAGATATGCTAAGTAGTATTTCTTACCTAAGCAAGGTCAAACCTTTAGTATTTTTCCTCCTTGTTACCGGGTTTGCTGCACTGCTTACAAGTGCTTTCATGAATCATTTCATATCATTTGCTGAAAACTACAGGTAGAAAACCTGAATCTGAGCCCCATAAGAAAGGAGTTACATCTTCTTTCTAATACCACTCTTTTATAGTGGAAAATTGCTATAGAAGGTCAGAGGCATTAAATCATTCTCTCCATTGCCAGGAAGATTTTCTACACTTTCATTTTCTCCATGCAAGAAACGAGCAACAGGGAGGAGGATTTGACTGTCTGCTGCCATCAAAACTTAGCTTTGATTAAGGCTTCCACAAGCAGGGAAGCAGAACTATTGCATTTACAACAAATTGGCCTACTTGCTACTTCAGTGCTCCTGTAACTATGAGAAAGAAAAATACAAAATATTTGTATTTAAGTCCACACATATCATCTCCATCTGGTGTGGCCGACGTGCTCACAAGAAACACACACTGAAATTTAAAAACTTTGTTTCAAACCTCTTCCTGGGAAAACGTGAGATGTTATTCACCTTTCCAAGATTGGAAAGGGGAAAACATAAAGAAAAAGACATTAATGAAGGAAGAAACCTAAATCCAGGTGAGCAGGTCTTGCAGCTGTCTCCAAACAGAGCAATTTAGTGATGTTTGGACTAAATTTTAAGATATGGTTTGCAGTCTAAATGAGTGTAGTTCTCAAAATATCACCTGAGAACAACTGCATCAAGATTCAGTTTCACAGCCTTTCCCCCCAGCTTCTCCTATGCAGAGCCCATCTATTAATTACAAGTCAGGCTCCCAGCTTCACAGCCAGCCTTTATTGCAGGCTCACAGATCGAGCTCTGCCTTCTGACTGATGAGCTAAAACAAACAGAAGAATCTCAGTGTTTATTAACAAGCTAAACTGCTGAAACCGACTGCTGGTGCTCAGCATCTGGAAGCTCTAGGAGTCCAGACACAAACACCCAGCTCAGACAGGTGACAAGGCGATGGCAGGAAGACATTCACAAACCTCTCCCCACCTACAACTACAGCGCAAACAGATGTGTTAAGTTTCAAAACAGCTTCAGAGACTCACCTAACTTACAGGTCAACAGCTAGGACTCACCTACCTGAGGACCGTCCTTCAGCGTAGCAGCCGCAGCAAAGGATGGGTTTCCCTGCAGCCTCTGCCATTAGCGGAGGCCACAGATAGTGTGTCCTGTCATATTTCGCGCTAGGGCAATTAGTTGATGGCACTGCATCCTTCTGGTGGTAGGCCTGGGAATGGGCTGAGGAACAGGCCCCATTTGGTTCCTGATGTGCCCAGGTCTCCCCATATTGCTGACAGCTTCCCCTAGCTGATATGGGGTCTGTTAGGGCACAGAAGAGGTAGTGAAGGAAGAAGGTCAAAACTTAACCCAATAAGGACTGTGTTAAGAAGGGTATGGACTAAGACCTCCCTTTCCATATAGAAGTATGAAAAGATCACAGGCACAAAGCAAGCTTAAGTACAGTTGCAGAACTGCATAGGCATTTCGTGATTGAGGAGAAACTGATTTTCCAGACTCAAATAGGACACAGGAATTTACTCAGTAGACGGACAAGTGAATCTGAAGGTTGCATTTGGAGCTTTCATTGGAAATCAGCACAAAAGTTAACTAGCAACCTCATCTACGGAATCAGCTACTGGAAGCTACAGCATGCTGCCACCAAATGAGAAGATCAAGAGAAACCAAACATCCCTAAACCATTTTATCTTGATTGAACTCATCAGTTTAAATATCAGAAGTGACACTAGTAGATTGGAGAAAGTACTTGGAAAGCAGGGCACAAATAATTCTCACCCCCCATCTGCTACTCACAACCTGTATACGTAGGTAGATCATTCCTACATAGTCACCATTTCAACAGCAGGAAAGAGCAAACATATAAAATATTATCTAACCATAATAAAGCATGTTAAGTACATAACATTAACATCTAGCCCAGGAATCGTATCATTCTCTTTCAGTGCAGCCCTTCACTTTATCTTCTTACGGTACTCCTTGGTGTTGAGAGTGATGACACACATCCGACACTCCTCAGGTGCCTGCCTCTATGTTCACTGCCTTTTTTCATGTAAAATCTGATCCATCATTGTCAGTCCTCCACAGAGAACAGCTACGGACAATCCATCCCTGCCAGGGAATTCTGGCATCACTGTTCCCTTCCCTCCGGGCCAGAGCAGCTCATACATGTGCACGCCAAAGAGGATCCAGTGCTGAGGTGTGTGCATCTAATGGAAGCAGAGCATCTATTTTACTAGCACTGAATGGTTTCTGTGCCACGTTTCCTCTCTTGTTCGTGTGATTTTAGTTCTTCAGGGTATCAGGGAATGCACACAAGGTACGCACTACAGTTTTAGGATTATTTTTTCCCCTCAAATTTTTATTCAGACTTACTAGAAGCCCTTCTTGGTTATGATTTTTCTTTTGCCACAACACACGAAGAAACATCCTTTCTTAGAGTTAAAAGCTGACAGCTGTTACCATGCTGCAGCCTGGCAAAACAAAACAACATGAATGGAGCTAGCTAAAGCAAAAGGTTACTTTCAAAAACATCCTATCAAGCTACTAGATGGGCAGATGAAGAATCTGACTCCAAGGACTGAGGTCTGATGCATTATGAAGATTGTGAGACTATGAAGCCCATATCTGAGCCTTTGTTGAAACAATCTCTCCAATGAGATTAATGCTCACAGTTTTGGGCACAAGAGAATTACAGTTCCCACTGGTTGGATAATTTTGCCCTTTACTACTAAGATCTCATGCACTAAGGTCTCTAAACATAAGCTAGTGCTTTTGTTACTCTGTCTTCTAAACCCTCAATCATGAGAAAGTCATAGTATTATATAGACTTTCACACTATAGCTGACAGCAACTGAGCAACAAGATATTAAAGAGGACCATCTGCTGAACTATCTCTGTATAAACATTGAGACATTATACTAAAATGCATTTTAAAGTCTCATTTTGATCTCCACCACGATCCTCCTGACACACAGAAGCACTGCGAGCAGCCTGGGTTCACTCAGGCAGTAAATGCAGAGACAGAAACTCTCACCAAAACCTCACGGCAAGAATCCCTCAGAAGCTGAGGAGGATTTATTTAGGAAGAGTATTAGTTGTTAGTACTCAATAGTTAGTGCCAACTTACAGCTCAAAGCATACTTCCCACTATGTTGGAAAACAAATACAACAGGATTCACCCTCTGCAAAACAGAAGCACTGCTCCGAAAACGAACCACTTAAGTGAGCTACTGTCACTCTGACTATAAACACTAGTGTCCATACGTAAGTGTGCTGTAAACAAAACCAAAGAGGTACCTGGAAAAGGTTCTGTCCCTGCACAAAAGCAGCATTCCTATGGCTGACCCCTGGACCTGATCTCTGCCCACTGCAAGATTTCATCCAGACACGTACAGAAGAGCCACAAGGCACAGAAATGCCCTTTCCAAGGGCACGCTACTATCAAAGTCACAAGGAGGCCTAGATCACATGCACCGTGATCTCTTAAGTACCCGCTATCATCTTTGTTGCAATAGGGACCATAAATCACATCTAAGCATCAGAAACAGACGTACCGAGGCTGTAATTAAAAAGGATTTGGTTTTGCCAGGTTATGATTCAAGGAAAAGTGTCGAGTTGGGACGAACAGTAGGATCAGACAGAAACAATCACTGTGAATTATTGTAACTGGCGCTGCACAGCACTGTATTCAGAGACACATCTCTCAACCTCCCCAGCGCACACACACCTTCCCGCCTAACACCCAGCACTTCCAAGCAAAGCTGGCAAACAGGCAGCTCTCTGTGCAGGGAAGTGCAACTCATGAATGAGCTCCCGGAGCAGCAGCAGCCCAGCGCCTCTCCAGAGGTCTGAAATCACTTCACTGCTGCACCACTGTGGAGGGGGTTTCAGGAGACACACACTTTCCTACTCCCTTCCCCAAAAATGGCCACCCGCACCTCCAGAAACTCCTCGGGAGGTGAGAAACACCCCCAGCATTCGGCACGGTGGCTCGGTTTAAGTTCAGAAGGAGCTGCAGATGCTTCTGGAAAGTAAGTTTCAGGTCGCGCTCCTCATTTACACCCGATACACCGCTCAAACACGCCGGGGTGCGCCTCTCG